TTTGCTTAAACTATTGTCTGCTGATACTTTGTGATGTAAGACTACAGAGGGTATCATCACTGCTGGAGTGTTATTTAGCCTGAACTGTAGCTAAGGGAACAATTTTTATCATCTGCAATTGTCTTCTCTCATATTTGCTGACCTGAATCTTGGTACTGTTTTTGCAAAGTTGCCTTAAATGCTTTGCTGTAACTTTGAGGTACCAGATTTGGCACTGAAGGAACTTTGGGAACTTTGTTTTCTGTATTATACAACATCATCCATAATATCCTGATTCTTACCTAAGACATCAGAAACTGTCATAATGTAGAGGCAGTCCATGATTTAAAGTAGGAGGGGAGTCTGGTATGTCTTATTCCAAGGCAGAGATGGTTAATGTGACTGACCTGAAGCTGCTTAGATGTCTTCTTGCTACTCTCCAATGCATTTAACAGAGAAGCAGCTTATAAACTTGAGCTCAGAATTAGACCTGATTTTTTTTTTTTTGTTCTCGGGCAAATAAACTCTAAATGTGAAGTATTGGAAGCACCCCTGCAACTTGTGCATGACTTATCTTGTGTAAGAGCTACCTTGGATCTGGCAGGCTTATTTGCTTTTGTTTCACCAGTGGACAGGCTGGATTTGTTAATTTTATAATAAAAACTTGTCTTACTGCATGGTGGCTTTGTACCTCTAGGCTTGAGTTTTCCTACTGCTTGATTGCTGGGGATAAAGAGGTGTATAAATAGTGATAGTAACTTAGTGGTGGATATATATAATTTTAGTATTTCTAGAGCTCTGTGAAATATTTCAGAATAAACCTTGGCTCATCAGATATTTCCAATTTGATGTGAAAGGGAAATAAACCAATAGTTCAAATGAAATCCAGTATGTGTACAAAGTAAATATCTTTTCTACGGAAAAGTTTAATTCCATACCATAAATGGGTGTTATTGATGGAATAAGCAACTGAAATGTTCCAAAGCTCTTTAGCTTTGCTACACAAGAGCAACAAGGTTTTGGGACTGCATTTGTAAGCTATCTTCTGGTGACTTACAATGTTAGTTGTTATTCAGCTACATCTGGAGGTATCGTGCTTTCAAATCAGCTGAATTTCACTTAAAGCACAGATTTCTCATGCTTCAAATTTGACAAATCTAATATTTGGAGGCTCAATGCACAGGAAGGAATAGTTCACTGGATCTCAGGATACAACTAATACATTTTCATGTTCATTAAATGTGTTGTCTTGAATGTGTCATCTATGCAGCTACTTGTAAAGCTACCAGATCTAGCTTCAACACTAGAGATTTTTGATTTTGAAAGGATAACAACTTTTGGTATTAGTTTTTTAGGTCAAGTTTTAGTTGTATACAACATATTAAACTGTGGCCTTAAAATAAACAATACAGCTGGGGTAAACAAATGTGCTTTGGAACACCCAAGTTGTCTTTGGGCACTGAAGCCTTTTCGTTACTTGGATTACATACAAAGTAGATTTGACTTTGGCTGTAGTTACATGCTTCCATTTTTTATGATTTGTACTTTGTATTTTAATTGTCAGGTAGTTTGGTACAATTAGGAATGATATTTAGACCTATGTGTTGCACAGTTAAATGTGTGCTTGCCTGTGTCAGACTCCAGGTTGTCAACATCCTGAAACAATTTCAGCATACTTTACTGTAAATGGAAAATCTCTCATTTTAAATATGCATGCGGTGGGGTTTTCTGTTCCTAAGAACTCACAAGGCTATTTTCAAGTAAACATAACTAATTCTAAGTAAAGCTTGAAAAATTGATGTGGTATTCTACTATATGAAAACTTTCACTTGAGCTTAGCTATGAACTCCTGTTCATAAGTAATGGTCCTTTAAAGGAGCTGTTGACAAGGAGTTACTGACTTCTCAAAGTCCAGACTTACAAATTGTTTTAGTCTGTTTGCTTTCTTTAAAGTTATACTTCCAGAAATAATAAAATCAGAAGCTCAAGGTGGAAGGGACCTGTAGAGAACATCTGATCCAACCTTCTGTTGAAATCATGACTCAATTAGAGTACACAGGGCTCTCTCAGTGGCCCTAAGTCCTGAATATTCTCAGCCAGGGAGATTTCTTCTGTTTCACTGGGCAACCTATTTCTGATGAACGTTTTCCTTGGCAGTATCTTAGGACCTATAAGAAAAAATATATCTAATAAACTCAAAGAAATTGCCTGTGGATTTCTTGAGATTAGGCCTGATAATTTCAGAAAAGACTGGTTCATGCAAGGCCTTTAATAGCTTCTGTGGGCTACAGTCAGCCATAAGCAATGTGCTCAATGGTATCTTGGTTCTCAGGCCTACATTGGGAATTGAACTTGCAAGTACTAAGGGGAATAAAATTGTATTTTCATATTTAGTAGGCTTTTAATGCTTGCATTTCTTTGTCTAAAGCTGAAGTGAACTGTAGCTATAGACCTTCTGTGTTGTAGGGTAACTGCAGCTGGGTCTTTTTTCCCCTCGGCACTTCCAGTATAGCAACAAAGGATTTTGAGCTGCTGCTACTCTATTGTCAAGTGTTTTCAAATTCCTCCAGAGGAACAGGGAGATTAAAGGGCCAAGATTGGCTTTTTCAGTGTCAGTAGTAGAAGAGTCAAAACTTCTGTTTTATAAATGAGGCCACAGAAAAGTGTTTAAGCCTGTTTCCTCTCTAGCATCATATTTTACTTGCAACTAAAGCAATTTTTTTCTTAACATGATTGTGTCACTCTAGTTTCCATCAGTGTGAATGTCTTGGCTTTGTGAAGTTTCATTGGGGCATAATAAACATTCCTGAACAGTATTTACTGATAAAGAATCTCTATTGCAGTATTTGACAGGAATTGTGGTGGGTTGGCCTCTGCTGGATGCCAGGTGCCCACCAAGTTGCTCTATCACTGGCCTACCTCAGCAGGATGAGGGGGGAATGTAAGGTGAAAAGCTTGTGAGTTGAGATGGAGATATCACTCACCAATTAATCATGGACAAAGCAGACTTGACTTGGGGAAGATTAATTTAGTGCCAGCCAATTGTAACAGAAGATAGAAAATAAAGCAAGACTTTTACTACAGCCTCCCCTTCTTTATGGGCTCAAC